TAATCACATAACCATTTCAAGTTCAATATATCCAAGAGCATATATCAACACTCCATCAACATGATAACACATAATACATGCTAATATTACATTTCATTCACAAGGCATAATATAAAACACAAAGCATGCCCACATGATCCCAATTTTCAAGGGATTACATAAATACTTCCATATACCAAAATCAAGCCAAGATTTTATATGGATCATTCAAACAAAATAAAAATCAAAATATATGATTTTTATATAACCAATTATCTAAACATTCAAGAAATCACAAACTAGCACTTTCTAACTACCAATTCACACTAGAATTGATCCTACTCATTTTCATAACACCAATCATAATGAAAAAATATTAGAAATACCCAAAACAGCCCACATGAACCCTATGGACACCTTAGGTTAGAAATAGGTTCGAGTAGGAGGAACCCTACCTCTTGAAGCGTAAAGAATTTGTATGAAGCCTTAAGAACAAGATTGAAGCCCAAAGCTTAGATTTCTCCAAAATCCTCCCTTTGAATCTTCGGTGAAAATCTTTGTTTTTGGTACCCACGCGTAGCTCTCGTCGCGTAGATCGACTTTAATTCTTGGCCCGACGAATTTCGACCGACGGAACTCCGAGAATCGACGAAAGAAAGCTTGAAGAATTATATTTTTTTCTTCTTTGCTCTTGAGTCTGATCCAGCCGGCCAAATGAAGAGCAAATATCTGATTTTTCAGATATTTGCCCACTTTTATACTTTCTAAACACTTGGCTCTCGTCGCGCCAAGTGTCGTCCTTTGTCCAGATCCGTTTTCATCCCGAAACGATTAAATTTCGTACCGATTTAAGCTCAAAATATTTTATATGAACTTTATTTAAAATATTTTTTAAATTTTAAAATTTTTATAAAAATTTCGTTTTTAGGGGTCATCGAACACCCATCACCTCGAAAAACGTAAAAATCTAACTATTTCAGAATTCGACAAAATTTGTCTGGGTAACTAGATTTTATAAGACGAATCCAACGGTGAGGTCCATTTCATCATCCGAGGTCTATAAAAATACCAGTTTTTTAACCCGCACTATAATGACAAATTACCATTTTGATATTTTTTTTCAGAAAAAATTAAAATTTTTTCCGAATTTCACAAAAACACACTTTTCTGTTGGTGAACACTGTTGCCGCATACAACTTATATCAAAAGACTCTAATTCTTGTAGTCTTGAGCAGAACCACCTTATGCCCTTGTGGCATGGCCCATCCTCAATTTTTTTCCTTCTAAAATTACCTATATATATTTTAAATGTTTTTTTAGTATATTAAATTGTGCCCCATCCTATTTTTTAGTCAAAACTAAAAAATGCATGGTATATCGATGAGTTTACTTGTAATTTTAATACTTATTTTAATAATTATCACCAACATGATAGAGAACACATTTTGTTGTGTAATTGAATGAATCGTAAATAGCTAAGCAAAAGCATGATTATGTATATAAAGAATAATAAAGTTAATGCAAGACTTTCAACATATGAAAATTAATCGGAGTTAATTCTAAATAATTTTGATTAGTTTTTGTTTTGTAAAATAATATAATTAGTATTTTATTTTATTTTTTGTCATTGTATCTACTATGCTTACCAATTTTAGTCTTTTAAGTTTAATGAACTTTTAAGAATTAAAATAAGATGCAATTAAATATAAATGCATTATCCTATTTTTATCAATTGCAATAAAAAAAGGAGTAAGCTTGTTAAAATATTCAGTACCCACCTAGAAAAGATTTTTTGGCTCCGCCCCTGTTTGTAATGTTTAACACCTATAGTTACAATAATATTATTAAATTATATTATTATCATAATATTAAATTAATAAATTAAGACATATTTTTAATTCACATTACTTAGCCAAGCAATGGGCTGCGCTTGGACTTTGGCAGTGATTTCATTGTCGTGAACTTGCTTAGAGGACACTGACTTCAAGCTTTCAATCAAACCTCAAACAATTGTACATAAAATTCAATTAAAATTCGAGCAATTTATATATTAAAATTCAACCCATTAAAATTCGTTTTTCATTGAGCTGATTAAATTTTATTTTTTTTACAAATTTTAAGTCTATTAACATGAAATTGAATTAACATGTAATTTCATCTAATTCATATATAAATACACTGACTTCAAGCTTTCAATCAAACCTCAAACAATTGTACATAAAATTCAATTAAAATTCGAGCAATTTATATATTAAAATTCAACCCATTAAAATTCGTTTTTCATTGAGCTGATTAAATTTTATTTTTTTTACAAATTTTAAGTCTATTAACATGAAATTGAATTAACATGTAATTTCATCTAATTCATATTTAATCCATCAAATTAATACCAAATTAAAATTCAATTTCATCGATTAAATATTCAATTTATTAAATTAACATTCAAATTCAACTAGTTACATTAAATTAATCAAATTAACTTTTAATTTCATTCAATTGATACTCAATTCATTGAATTAACTTACTAAATCAAATTTATCAAATTAACACCAAAGTAACATATAATTTCATCTCATTAACATTCAATTCATCAAATTAACATTTAATTTTATCTAATAAACATTTAATTCAATAAATTAACAATCAAATTCTACAAGTTAACATTAAATTAATTAAATTAACGCCAAATTAAGATTGAATTCATCTAATTTATATTCAAATTCCTCCAATTAACTCTCAACAAATCAAATTAACATCCAAAACTCTTTAAAAAATATTCAATTTACCAAATCAATTTTTAAAAAATATTAAAAAAATATTCAATTTTAATTGACTTGAATTATAATGCATAAAAAAATATAAAACAAACAAAAAATTTAATTATCTAACCCAACATCCACAATGTAAACCGTTTGTTTAATAATCTGGATCCATATCAATTGGCAATAATATACCGACACATGGATGAATGAAATTTTGACATGATACTAATCCATTTCCCGCCCAAATCCATTCCTCTTGCTTCTTCCAGACGTTTAGTAGCTGCGAATAACTGCTTCACTTTTTTTCTTCTTTCTCTTTCTTTTTTGAGTTCTTCTCTTCTGCTTCGTGTCGGTACTCAATATTCTACCTCTATCTATATAGTAACTTCCCTATTATTATATTCATCTTCATCGTCCAGGCGCCTACTGTATGTCAACACAACATTTGAGTTACCTATATATAACCTATACCTCAATTGGCCTCCACACATATAAAAATGGCAGTGTGCAAGCCAACTGTATGTCAACACAACATCTAAGTTACCTATATACAACCTACACCTCAATTGGCCTACACACATATACAAATGGCAGTGTGCAAGTCATTTTGAGTTGTAGGTTATATACAAATTGTTTTTATTCACAATAGTAGCAATGCTAAAGATGTCAAAGTGTGTTGTTGGTGAGATATACTTGTTGAAGGTATGTGTTTTATGATAGATTGTTCTTTTTCTTATTTGTTCTTCATAATATGACTTCATTCACATTAATTTGTTCATATCGTAAGAACAGGTTCACCGGATTTCATGGTCCATATAGTGTACCAATGCTATTTCAAAAAATCATGATGGGAGAATTATTACACTACCCATTGCCCTATTTTCGATCGATTGAAGGACATTTTTCCGCCACCTTCTGACAGTTCAACTAAATTTTTCAAAAAGTGTTGACAAAGAAGGGTAGGCAAGTACAACTAATATAGTTTGCATGAACAACCATTAATTACATAACATTAAGCCAATCAACAAATTTCTAGTAAAAAAATATGCAAATTCAACAACCACCCAACCCAGGTCATTCCACAATCAACCAATAGAGACCCACAATCAAATAATGACGGGTTGCACAATAGCACCGATTTTTCCTTGATTCCATAGATACCTCGAAGTTGAATTTGGGTATTTTCATAAACAATGTTTCTGCAAAAAAAAAAAAAATTACTCCAAAAGTGGTAATATTATGCAAAAAGAAAGGAAACCTTACCCCAAAAACAAGTGATATTCTTACCCAAAAAAAAAAATGGTATCCTTACTCCAACTCTATTTTAGTTTTTCCTAGCATTCTAAGAGGCACTACCCGCAAAACTGGTAAAATTACTCCAAATAGTGGTAATATTACCCAAAACAATGAAACCTTACCCAAAAAAGTGGTACTCTTGCCCAAAAAAATAGTATCCTTACCCTAACTTTCCTGAAAAGGGACTACCCACAAAAATCTCGTAACATTACTCCAAAAAAAAGGTAATATTACCAAAAAAAAATGAAACCTTACCCCCAAAAAATGGTATTCTTAACAAAAAAAAAAAAACAAAACAAAAATTGGCACCTTTACCCCAACTGAGCTTAGCCAACTATAATTTAACATATTATTCAACTTTCTTAAGAATCATTTACCATAGCATTCTAGAATTTGTCCAATAATCTCCATAATATAACATTTTTGTCCAAGACTACACATTTTATATCCCATATGCAGGAAATACAAAAAACTATTTTATTGATTTGTTAAAAAGTGGAGAAGAAGAGATTTCAAATTTTGGGGAGAAGAAGATCTATTCCCAGTAGATTCATGTGAAAAATTACATCATCTATGCACTGCCAGAACTCTACATTACATGGAGATAAATAACATACTCCTAACTAACTCTAACTAATTGCCAGTAACTAATTTGCCACAAACTCTAACTCACTGAGCTTTCTTCTTCTATGTTTGTAGCTGTATCATGTGGTCTGTACTACTACGATTCTTCATCATGTTCTGCAGCTACGTATATGTTCCTGCATCTGCATCTCCTGCCCTATGATTCTGCAGCAGCATTCTTCTTCAACAAACATGATTGTCACATTTAACAACTTTCTGTCCCAAGTGTCGAAACCCACGAACAAAAGTTAACTTTTTTTGTTGGAAACTACACACTGAATACACAACCACAGGAGCATTAAGCTAAACATGAAATGATACATCTAAAGAAAAAAACCAATGTGTCTAAAAAATGATGTCACCAATCAAAAGTGTTTCAATGGTTCCTATCCAAGCAAGCAATTAAATAAATCTCATGGGACTCATGCATCACATGAGTCAATCACATGTAATGACGTACCTGATATAGTATGCAAGCAATTAAATAGCACTTTTTCAGTTTTGCATAACCATATTTCCCCATTGAAAACAAAATTCTATAACCGTAATTGGAACCTAATTAAAATTTTTGATTCTCCAAGAAAAAAAAACAAAAAAAAATCCCAACAATCAAGAGAGCATATAAAGCAGCTAAAACTTTTGGACTTTCATAGCAATCACAACAAAAACTCAGGCAAAAAATAAAAAAAAAAACTATTTTCATAAATTAAGCTAACAAACTCCAATAACCTTCAAAATCCAAAAATCAGATATCCACAAACTATGTCCATACAGCTACAATCACCACCTATCAACAAACTCATAATGTAACTTGGAGAACTAAAACCATCAAATGACGCGCATTCAAAATTATCATCAAACACAATGTCAACTAAATCATTAAAAATGCATTAAATTAATTTTCAACTTTTATCTCTTTTACACTCCCTGGAACAATTCACACAGTCTAAATAAAAAACATGAAACTCAAACATAAATGGGAGAAAATAAAAATAAAAAAAACACGGCAAAAACAACTCTAGTAAAACAGAAGTGATTACTCAATCACCATCAATAGTGGAGAAAAATACGTAAAAATAGTCATGGGAACTTAATGATTTAGATAGTCCATTAGTGAGTATCCTCTAATTGGGATGATTAAAATAGAGGCAAAATTTTTAGCTAATACATAAGGTGGTGTACATCATGCACCAGCAAGCAGAAAATTTTGTTCACAATAATCATAAATAATTTGGCACAAAGCTCCATTCCAAGAATGCTTCACTTATTTATCTCTAGTTTAGAGAAGCTGGAAATATAGAAAGCTCCTTGTCTTAAGCTTTGAAATACAGTAGACGGGGTTCAACCTTCAACAACACACGTGTAATTACTCTCTTGCTTATTCATTACAAAGTTTGGATGGGCAATCAATAAGTGAAACGAGTTATTTACTTATATCTGCTAAAATCATCCCTCTTTGGTCCTGTTTAGCATCAGCAAATAAATCCCTCACATTTTTCTCGGTTTCACCGACGAATTTGCTAAGCACTTTAGGTCCGTTGATAATCTAGAGTTCGCATAGTCATGGCCAATTCAAACTACTATGGGCATGCAGTTACTCCAAGACATCAAAACTACAGACAAGCATAAGAAAGCAGACGCAGAAGCAATTATCCACAGCAACATAAAAAGAAGCATGCATCTTACAAAATACCTATGCCACACTCAAAAAGTGCAAGCCCAAGGCAAGCCCACTCGAAAATTCTCCCATGCCACACTCGAAAAGTGCAAGCCTAGGGCTCCAAATATCAGCCGGATAGGAATAATTCTCATTTCGAATTTGCTCAGGTGACATGTACGTAACAATTCCAACAAAAGTAGCACACTGGGAAACACAATTCAGAGAATTTAGAAGAAGCTGATCCAACATTTGAGATGCATCATTTACATTGCATTTAACCTTTTAAAAATTGAAATAACAGTAGTAACAATATCACAAAGAATCGAAAAACATGACATCTACTATTTACCATTGCCATTGAATTCTATAATCCAGCACTTATGCCAAAATCTGTTATTTTTGGCTCCCCCTTGAGATGTACGAGCAACTTTGCTGGCTTTATGTCTCTATGAACTAAATGTCTAACTCCATGCAAATAACTTAGTCCCCGTGGAATAATACAATAGATGTAAACATAGCTGAAAAAAGAAATGGTAAACCTCCCAAATCATGGTATAGCAGTTAAAACATGTACCATAAACATAATTACCTGCAGAAAACTTAGTGTCCGATCAATGATGTGTAAGCCTCCTAAATCCAATAGGGACAAGTATGTTAGTGAAGCAATAAGTGCAACTCCATCTGCAAGAATCTTTGGCATACATTAGATTTGACCACAAAAATTGAAAATAAGTTAAAGATGCACAGGATCATCTGGACACTGAAGCAATAATAAATGAATAACTACTTAGTAGTGACTTAACAATCCATTCAGAGGTGTGGGAAAATTAACTAGGATCTATATGATGAAAAAAATGAGCAAAAACAAAGGTATAATCAAGGATGTTTGAGGGTTACTATCCAACTCAAATTGTCCATGATTATTGCATCCTTAGTTTATGACAACCTTTTTAGAATAACAAATTAAGTAAAGCAATTTAAAGTATGTTGGGAACAAATTAATAGTTGCGGAAACATGAACAAGATGATTTGTTTTTTGTGTATAGTTTCCATAGGCTATTATGTAATACAATTGATAGTTAACAACCAAAATATGCTGGGAAAATTAGACCATTAAAGAGTGGCACATCCACTAATGCACACACCCAATATCATTCAAATAGTGATGCTTTAAACATTGTCTTGTCCCTATTTTTGTTGACAAGGTGTGTTACAAGACTGATAGGCAACTCCATGCACGTTTCTTTAGTAAGTTCCTACAAAAGTAAGAAAACATGTTCATTGACATATTACAAAACCACATTCTATAACGGTTCTAAAACAACACTATATGAGGTACTACAATATTCTGTGTACTATATACCCTTATAGGGAATTTTTGACCCAAATGTGGCGCCCGAAGCAACTACATGATGTACATCCCACAATTGTATCCATTGCTTTGTATCGGCACCCATCTTGATGTAATGATAGGCCATTTGTCTATTGGTGTGAACTCTTCCGATAACTCAGCAATTAGACAATGTGGTACCTTCACCTGTTCAAGAATACGAAGTATTTAGATAATAAATATTGGGATTACACCTTTCACAAAATTTACTTGGAGTACATAAACTTTACCGTTTTTGCAGCTTGTGTAAATTGGATATTTTTCTTGTGAGGATCACTCAATGTGTCGAGAATCATCACCTCCTTATTCTCTACATCTACTACCATTAAGTACCAATAAATGTCATATATCTACACTATAAAACATGTAAAACAATGATCATTCAGACATCATAAATGTCCATTTATTAATAAGGAGGACCTATATAATATAATTAGCAACATCAAACCTTAACACATTTGCTAATGTCGCGAATGAAATGAACATAGATGGATTTAAATTTATCGCACAAGAGACCATTCTTTGACAACTCTACTACAACAGCTTGTTGCTACAAACAACAATCATAACATAGAAATCATAAGCAAATGTAAATGCTTTGTTTGTACAAGCAGTGCACAATACAGATGAGTTGGTACTTTACCGAGAACCATGTCGATAAGTACCATCACTCCTTTTTTGTGATGTTGTCGAGCTTTTCATCACTGACATAATCAAAAGCACTGCACTTATTACCTATTAAGTGAACAAGAAGTTAAGTGTCATTTCGGAAATGCTTTAAATCCCACATAATAATTGAAAGACAATATGGGCATGAGAGGAAATGCACGTACAGAATCACAAACCCATTCTTCTTCACCCAAGGATCGCAAATATGCTCACTTGAGAAAATAGTGGTTTTCATCAAACCACACCAGCTCCTCCCTACTTATTAAAGTCGCATCATAATTCACATGTGCCACGTACAAATTATGACATATATATACTTGTTTCGAAAAATTTGGCAATTCACTTACTATTTGCTCAACTGACTGTTTAGTATATACGCCCATAAATTCCGCTTGTGGAAATCTTGATAGGTCTCGATGTAAGGGTACCCACTTCGCCAACTCCTCACGCATGGCTTGCTTGATGGAGGCCTGATCCACCTCTAATCTGGTAAGCCTTGCTTCAATTTCCTAAGCAAATGGAAAATGTTTGTTTAATTGAACAAACACCATTAGAAATACAATTGTTAGGAGTAGTTGTTGAATAATACACCTACTTGTTGATGAAACACCCTTGGACCTCTGATGGCTTCATTGACTTCTGGTGGATCACAACGCACCTCAGCAACTGTGACTTTAATCTAATTCAAGCATGCTAAATATCGTATGTCATAAGTAACATATAATTCCATTTCATGAATAAAATTAGAAAAAATTAGATTGTTGTGCGGGAATCACATTGATATACCTTATAATTTTTGTATCCTCCTAACTTCTTTAGTCGCTGTAGGTAATTTCTTATTTCTTCATCACCCCATTATCCAATGCAAGGGGTTGGTCGAGACACCAATGGGACCATAGTCTCCCCTATTGGTGTCACACTCTCAATGTAGAAAATCTATATGACACACAACATACAATTAATAAAAATAAAACTGCATAAAAGACTTGGGTAACCAACATTAACCAAATATAAATATGTTACCATGAGGACAAAAATGCAACCATTGACACTGTGACGTTGTGTCACCTTGTAATCTTGTACCCCCGCAATGATGGAATCAAACACATATTTTGCCCAATTCCCACGCCCTAAAGATGGGACGTCCAAAAGCATGTGGAGGTGGGAGGCATTGACTGTGGCCTTCATTGTGGGGCACAGGAATCTTCCCACAACAAATAGAACAAACAAACGCTGAAATTCTTTGAAATCTTCTTTCAATTTCTCTAGCCTAGACCCTATCTCACGCAACAACAACTCATTTTTTTCATCAAAAATTGATTTTTTAAGATCCTCGATTAATTATGGGGAGCCGATCGTCTACAATTCTAACCCTCCATAATGTAACCCCAAGATTCATTCGACATCCAATGGAGTAAAAATCAAAGATTGGTTGTACACGTTCAGAATACATGTATCGGGATCAAATCTGCTCAATATCTATTAACATAAACCCCTTTTAAACCAGTGGATATGCAGACTTAACCCCCCCCCCCCCCCCAATCCCATTTCCTTAACACCTTCCTTTTGTGTATCACTAAGTGCTCCAATTGCTTTAACTAGTATTGAAGGAGAGCATTGGGTTCGAAAAAGATCCTGAAAAATGTTTTACAAGTTTAAGTTAGTGAATAAAAAAATATTAAAATGGTTGAAAGTTTAAGCTTGGAAGTAACCTTTTCAGTTTTTTGGCACTTTATGAGCTCTGGCTTTTCTTCCGGTTTTCCTTTCCTCTTATTCGCCCTGTAACATGCACTTACAAATGCTAATACAATAAAATATAAATGAATTTTAAAAAAAATTATGATGAAGCGATACTTACATTGTAATAATTCAACTAATTGTGTACTCACTTGATGACCTGCCAAATGTTGTGGGTTTATGCATTAGTTTTCAAATGCATAAACATTTACTAAAATGTAGAGGTCT